AAAATATTTTATTATATAAATCTTTTGCATATACAATAAGATAAAAATAATAATAATTTTTTGACAATTGAAAATTTAATATTTAAAATTTTTATTATGAAAATTTATTTAATTTGAAAAATTAATTTTAATATATTAATTTTAAAAACTTTTATGATTACAAATTTCATTTTTTTTTTATGTTGCTAGTTTTGGTGGTTAAAAATTTTCAAAAATTAGGACAAAAATCGAGAAAAGGAAACTTCAACTTTTTCCATTTTAATTGAAGGGTCTAGTGCCGAACCGGACCTTTAAAATCAATAGTTCGACCTCAAATTTTAAGTGTTTGGGTGAAGGTGGTCGGAGGTTCGAATTCTATTATCGTCGTAAATTTTACCAAAAAATGATTTGAGGGCCGCGCACTTTATTTGAAGGGGTAAAATATTCACTCGATCTGAGAATCGAATCTTTAATTATTAACAACTAATTCAATTTAACTTTTTAACTATTACCCTTATCAAATAATAAAAAATAAAAAAAATAAAAATGAAGGGTCCAGTGGCCCCACTACAGCAATGATAATCTAGGCCGATCTTCATCTTTAAAGAATCCAATGTTTCCCCACTGCAGCAATGATAATATATATTTTTTGTTTGAACCTGCAGCAATGATGATATTAGTCTAATCTTTGAAATGAAAGTCCATGCCAATCTTACTGTGCACTCTCCGCGAACCTCCATACAATACCTTTTATTGGAGTTGAAAATCATATTATTATAATATAAACATAAGGTAATATTATAAGTTTATAATATGATATATTTTTATATAATTAAATTTTTTATTTAATATATATTACATATATTTAATATCATGATATAATTATAAATTTATAATTTTATTTAATATTATAAGTATATATAGCACCTATTAAGATTTTTTTTTGGACAAGGGTAATTATAGAAAAAAAGGGAAATGGATGAGCTCATGGGTTGGAGAAATATCAATTACCTATAAGTCAAGTACAAATATTTAAGTATAAATATTCAAATAATTAATAAAACTCAAACTCTCAATCAACTTTATCTAAATATTAAGATTTAAAAAGAAATTATTATATTCAAATAGTGGATGAGCTCATGTGTTGGAGAAGTATCAATGACATGTAAGTCAAATACAAATATTCAAATAATTAATGGAATTCAAATTCTTGACCAACTCTATCTAAATACTAAGATTTAGAGAAAAACTATTAGATTCAAATAGTTGATTCACCTATTAACATTTAACTTTAGGTTGTGTTTGGTTTCGCATTTTCTAGCCAACAAATTTCTTTAAAATAATTTTGGTCTGCCATCTCCCTTTTTAAGTTAGGGGTTCTTTCAGCTTTAAAATAATTTTTAAACTCTTGAAAGTGATTTAAGGACCAGGCTCTCAGTTGAAAAAGCATAACATTTTTTAAGTTCCATTTAGAAGTGCTATACTATAGTTAGGTTTTTCTGGTCATTTAGAAAGGGCAACCAAGACCTTTAACAAGAGAAATTATGACTTGGGACCGCTGAATTATTGATATCTGGACCTTAGAGAAAATATAACATCCATCTGCTAGGCGAAATTGTTTTGTTTCTCCCATGGTGTGTGTATATATAAATATATATATATATTTATATTTTAAATAAGAATAATTTTTTACAAATATTTTTATTATATTAAAAAAAAAAGGGAAAAGTAATTCCTGAAAAAACAAATATCAAACTTAAGGTAGTGTTTCTACTAAAGAGCATATAACTAAGCACTTAGTGCAGATGTGCGGAACTTCTCCCATGGTAATATTTGAAAAAGACCAAAAGTGAAAAAGTTGATGATTCGCCTCGGAGATAAGGAGACGCTTATGTTCCAGTAGGACCAGCAGTGCAGAGAAATCAGTTATCTGTCTGAAAGAGGAACCATGAACTATACTCCTGTCCTTGATACATATAATGCCCATTCTTTGCTGATACTTCTTTGTAAGTGACGAAAACAGCGCACCTCAATAGATAAATGTACAACCAGGAACTTGTTGAGAGCATGAAAATGCTGTTTAAACTCAAGCTTCGTCTCCCAGATGGACAAAAAGCAATCAAAAAAAAGAAAGTGAGAAGCAAAACTAGGGGAGTCATGTCAAATCCACGCCATCACCTCCACTTTCCATTTGTTTCCATCCCAAGGTATTGTCGCTCTTGTTTCTCTCTGAATCATTTTTTGAGAAGAAATATTTTTGGTTTGTCTTTGTAGATGTTGAGAGCATCAAAGATTGCAACAGATGACATACAACCAAGTTTGGCTCAAAATGAAAATGCATATCAGGTAAAATACTCTCTACACGTGACAGGTTCTTGTCAACCCTAGCCTTAAGGTCATAGGGAATCAAAGGGTAATTATGATACATTTTGGAAAGTCAGTTTCTTCCCTGCAAGGCATGCGTATGCAGTTCTAGACAGCTTCACCTTTAGATAGTCATTCTTGCGGACTTATATATTGGAGCAATGGGGCTTTTACATGAATCAAAGGAAGAGCAAAGGGGCGGTACTTCTCAGCTTTGGTGAGTGGTGCTTCTTTCCTCATCTATGTTGAAAGGATACAGGTTTTCTTTCAGCTACATTTATATATGCTTTAAGATTGTTGAATATTAGCTTCATTGTTATGTTGAGCTTGTTTTGTGAATTGTGATACAACATGTAATTATTGGAGGCATATGAATAGATTTATTTGGTGACAAGAAAATTAATGGATTTTGAAAAAATTTCTCCTACTAATTTGTTTAAGAAAAAATTGAAATGGGTAGACTGCACATCTTATCATTGTTGGTGAAAAGCAAACACCTTGATATTGAGTGATTCTCTATTCATTAATGATTATAAAATATGCAGTCAGCACATATCACTCTTTGTTTAACTGACTACCATGATTTTGTTTCAAATTCAAATTACTTTGCAACCATTAATTAATTAGGTACTGAAGCTAGTATAGTTTGTATGCATAATAAGAAAAGAAAAGAGTAGACGAACTGCAGCTTCTGTCTCCTAATCTTGATATATTAAAACTGACCACTATATATAATTATGATGGAGACTTGAATTTTGTTTTAATATTGACTATGCGCATTATTGACTTGGTTTCTTCACACCATTGAGATGGCTGAGGAATACACCCATCACCAAACTATCTCCAATAGGAAATTGATCTATAACCTCTCCGTTCAACACATTTTTTGACATACTTTTGATTCAATTATTAAAAATTTAATATAAATATAATTAATTTAATCAATTCCTGCATTATATATACATAATTGTATTTTTAAATTTATTTATTTTTAATTTCATATTAAAAAATAATAATTTTTTAATAAATATATTATGTAATATATTGAATTAAAATGTGTACTAATCACTATGCAATAATCTCTTCCTCGGCTATTCCGATTATTTTCAACCACCTAATGACCTAAATGTCAAAGTCCTACTCTGCACTCCCCAGCTCTCATAAATCATTCCAACGTATACTCAGATCCAAATTCCATAGAAAAAATTCAAATTCCGCAACCAAAGAGAGAAAGGAAAAAAAAAAAAAAAAACTACCATATGGAGGAAACTTAATTGTCATTTTTTTTTTTTTTTTTTTGGAAAAACCCTTCTTAAACTCTCAAATTTACCTCAAAATAACATTTAAACTCCTAAACTAAAAATGAAGTAAATATGCCCTCCAACTCCACTAATGATGCAAATAAGTCATGCTCATGTATGGATACTCATACTTCAAGGTAATATTAAACATGAAATACTGTTTGTGAAAAATGTTTATTTGCATTGTTGGTAGAGTTGAAGGGCTTATTCGTTTCATTTTTAATTCAAGGCTTAAATACTATTTTGAGGTACGTTTAGGGGCTTAAGAAGGGTTTTTTTCCTTCTTTTTTCTTTCTTTCTATCTCTCTTTCTTTTTGGTTGTGAATGCTTCTTCTTTTATGTGCATTATCATTAGATTTGATGTAAGCAAGTGTCATTTTGTAACTGGATTTTAAATTAATAAAAAATTTAAGAGTTATCACCAAAAGAAACTTTTTTTTTTATAAAAATTTATCAGATTTAGTATTAAAAAAGAGAGATTAATTACTAATATCATCAAATATGCAACCTACACATTTTGCAACCATAATAGTTTATATAGACTTAAGTCATAGCTTAGGTAGGTTTAATATCACCTCATGAACAAAAAGGAAAGCTTCCTTGGAGGACCTTAGCTAGGTATATGACCTTATAAAATCAGGATAGGTGAGCTCTCCTAAGCGACCTAGGTGGTGTTGATTGTCCTGTCCAACTACACCTATGACTAAGATTTAGTAACCAAGACAGAAGAACATAGGACAAGGCAGGCCCACCTGAGGTTAAGGATAGCCTGCACTTGGATTAGGCCCTTGCTGGTGTCAGCCATGCAACGACCTTTTATTTAGTAGGATAGTGATGTATCTAAGGTGGTTTGGAGGAAGATTTGGGGCTTAGAAGTACCTGGGAAAGTTAAACATTGCTTGGAGAGTTGTTTACTGCTAGCCTGCCTACTTCTTCGGCTTAGTGCCATTGTGGAGTGCCTATCCCTCCTACTTGTTGGTTGTGTTGGAAGTGCGAAGAATCATTGGCTTATCTTCTGTGTCATTATGAGTACGTATTTTCACTATAGATGGTTAGCAGCTGGTATTGATATATAGGGTGTGGCTTCCTCGAGCAGAATCTCCTATGCATTGGTTCCTTGAGTTGTTTGAGTACACACTTCTCTTGATGTCTTTTTATTGTGGGGTTTGTGGTATATCAGAGGAATAAGCCAGTTTATGAGGGAATATTCTTTTCTCTAGCTGATGTGATTGAGCTAGCAGCACATATTCTTGGTCAACATGATGAATTTGTTATTGACCATTTCCCCATTTCTTCTCCTCTTTGCTCTCGTTGGAGTTCCCCCGAGCAGAATTTTGTGAAGTTGAAATGTAATGGTGCTTTTGTGGAAGCATGGAAGACAAGGGGTGGTGCTGGGGTGATTCAAGACTTCCGTGGAACTGTTCTTGGAGCTTTCCAAGTCCTAGTTTTCTTTAGCTACTAGTGTGGTCCATCTAGAAGCTAAGCTATGGTTGTTTTATGTGGTTTGAAATTGGCTCGTGATTTGGGATTTCAGAATGTGGTTCTAGAAACTTATTCTTTTTTTTTTTTTGGTACTAACTAGAAAGTTATTCTATTGTTGTCATTCATTGAATCATTTGAGAACCCATTCTCAACAAAATTTATCTGTTGTTGGTCCTTTTATAGATAATGCTCATCGGGTTGCTTCGGGCTTTCCCCAGGTTTATTTCTACATCTTCGGTGTGATAGAAATAAGGTGGTTATATCCCCGATTCAGTCCCTCAACTTTCATTTTTGAACTAAAACTAACCTCGAACTTCAAAAAGTACTAAAAAAATCCTTAAACTTCAATTTTTGGGACCAATTTCGTCCTTCCGTCGACGAACATGACAGATGGCACGTTAAGTTGCCACAAAATCAATTCTTGTTTGAAATCTTTAATTACATGGAAAATAACTAATCCACGTCATCCCTCATTACTCCGATCATCCCTCATTAGTCCGGTCATCCCTCCGATCATCCCTCCGGTCATCCCTCATTACTCCAATCATTTATTACCACTCCAATCACCATCTACTTCTTCCCCAAACCTTACCACTCCAATCACCATCTACTTCTTCCCCAAACCTCCTCCCTAATAGGACTCAATAAATCTGATTCAAAAAATCAATTCCTCTACAAATGTATACCAGATCTACAAAGAAAAATGAAAAAAACATCACATTCCTTCAATCAACATTAACAGTAACTAAATCTGGAAATTCAAGCAATCAGAAACCACACAAAACCCTAAATCCCATTCAAGCATGACTGCAAGCCAACAAAGAAACAGAACAAAAAAACCCAGGCACTGGGTTCGGAACCCAGCGCCTGGGTTCAAGGAACGTTCGTGAAGCCTCTAGATTTACTACTATATCAATATGGTAATAAAATGGAAAACAAACAGACCGCTCAACAAGATACCGATGAATCCACAATCAGCAAATGGCATACGACCGCCAGCAAGCAATCTCAGCTCAGATCCGGAGCGAGGAGCCGAGAAGCAAAGCAACGACGACGGCAAAGACAGCCGAGACAAATGACGACGACAACGAGCCAGCACCAGCTGTCGGGGTTGGAGCCGGAGCATCGGCGGCCAGAGCCAAACCCAGGGCCTGGGTTCGAGGAACCCGCGCCTGGGTTCCATCGAACCCAAGCATGCTGGGTTCGAAGGAACCCAGGCCTGGGTTCCTCGAACCCAGCACGCCTGGTGCCTCGAACCGCGCCTGGGTTCGAGGAACCCAGGCGTTGGTGCTGGGTTCCTTCGAACCCAGTAGGGGAGGGGAAGGAGAAAAGGAAAGAGAAGGAGAAAAAGAAAGGACAGGAAAGAAAAAAAAAATTTATTTATTAAATTATATTTTTGGTGTCCAGTCATAATATTTTTATAATTAAAAATGCCACATCACTCATTTTATTTCCAGGTAATATTTAATATTAATAAAAATTGAATTTGTTAACGGGAAATGTTGCCATGTCAGCACTTAACTGACGGAAGGACGAAATTAGTCCCAAAAATTGAAGTTCAAGGATTTTTTTAGTACTTTTTGAAGTTTGAGGGTAGTTTTAGTTCAAAAATGAAAGTTGAGGGACTGAATCGGGG